CTGGACGCCAGCCTCAACCGCATCACCGACATCGAGGAGAGCAGTCTGCCGAACAGCATCGAGCTGGTGCTGCTCAACCGAAACGTCATCCGCAAGATCGCCCCCGGCACCTTCGCCAAGAAGACCAACCTGACGCGGGTCGATCTGTCGGAGAACCGCCTCAGTNGCAGCTGAGCCGGGTGCCCGATCGGCGGCCGCTGCCTGAGTTCAGCGTCGCCGGCAATCCCTTCCTCTGCGACTGTCAGATGGAGTGGCTGCAGAGGGCGGCAGTGGCGGCCGCTGCCACTGCCACGCCCGGCCTGAAGACCACCATGGCCAGCACATTTTCTGGTCACGACGAGGCCAGCAGCCGCCTCTATCCTCGGGTGGTGGACGCCCATATGGTGCAGTGTCGACTGCCCTTTGGGCGGATTAGCTCTTCCGCTTCAGTGGGACCCTCAGTGCCATCTATTTCATCCTCTTCCTCTTCTTCTTCTTCCCCATCTCCGCTTTCTCCATCTTCCTCCCTCTCCTCATCTTCCTCCTCATCTTCCTCTTCTCACCTGACTCCCCTGGTTAACCTNATCAGTGCCATCTATTTCATCCTCTTCCTCTTCTTCTTCTTCACCCTCTCCGCTTTCTCCATCTTCCTCCCTCTCCTCATCTTCCTCCTCATCTTCCTCTTCTCACCTGACTCCCCTGGTAAACCTGCGCCCCTCTCAGTTTCTCTGCTCCTACCGCTCGCACTGTTTCGCCCTCTGCCACTGCTGCGACTTTGACGCCTGCGACTGCGAGATGACCTGCCCCGACAACTGCACCTGCTTCTACGACCAGTCCTGGAACACGAACATCGTCGACTGCGGCGCCAATCAGCACGCCGTCGTGCCCTCGCGCATTCCCATGGACGTCACCGACCTCTACCTGGACGGCAATAACATCGCCGAGCTGTCGCCGCACACCTTCATCGGCCGGAAGAACCTCCGCCACCTGCACCTCAACTCCAGCCACATCCGCGCCATCAACAACCGCACCTTCAACGGCCTCAAGTCGCTGCTGGTGCTGAACCTCGCCTCCAACGAGCTGGACACCCTCTACGGCTACGAGTTCGAACGGCTGACCGACCTGCGCGAGCTGTACCTTCAGGAAAATCGCATCTCCGTGATCGGCAATCGGACCTTCAGTGCACTGCGCTCCCTCCGGGTCCTCCGCCTCGACCACAACCACCTGGTGGAGTTCGAGCTGTGGAGCGGGCTGATGTCGAACCTCCATCTGGTGGACCTGCACCTGGGCGGCAACGACTGGTCCTGCGACTGTCACTTTGTGCTGCACATGATGGAGTGGCTGCCGCTGCGCAGCGACGTCATTCGCGACCTCTCTCTGGTCCACTGCGCCTACAATGAGACCTATGCGCTGCCGCTGGCGCCCATCGCCACCATCACCGCCGACATCGAGGCGGCCCGGGCGAACATCAGCAACGCCTGCGCCCAGTACCAGGCAGCGGGCAGTGGGGGTCACCCGCCACGGCTGGGCCACGCCGGGCACATGCCGGCGCCCTCGCAGAACGGCCTCCCCATCGTCGGCTCCATGGTGGCCGCCAACGCCCCCGTCGTCGTCCTCGTCGTCGCCTCCACCTTCGCCGTGCTGATCCTCCTCGGCACAGTGATCACCGCCGCCCTCTACCGCCACGAGATGTCCGTGTGGCTGTACGCCAAGACGGGCATTCGTTTTGGTGGAAAGGGCGGAAAGGGAGGCTCCGGAAAGGGCCGAGGGCGTGGTCGTCGTGGTCGCGGCCATCATCACTACGGCGGCGCCGGGGACACCGACGAGCGCCTCTTTGACGCCTTTCTCTTCTACTCCAAGCGAGATGAGCAGTTCGTCATGCAGGAGATCGCCCCCGAGCTGGAGTACGGACAGACGCCGATGCGCCTCTGTCTGTGCTACCGCGACCTGCCGATCGCCACGGCGGCGCCGGGCGTCGTCTCTGACGCCATCATGGAGGCGATCGCCTCCTCCCGACGGACCATCCTCGTCGTCTCCGACTACTTCCTGCGCAATGAGTGGTGTCACGTGGAGTGCAAGGCGGCCTTCATGGAGGGCCTCCGCTGTCACCAGGACAACCACCAGCTGATACTGCTGGTCGTACATCCGCTCCAGGGCAAGGACGTCGACGCGGACGTGCGCAACTGGCTGCGCAGCAAGGACACCACCTGTCTGCAGTGGAATGAGACGATGTTCTGGGAGAAGCTCCGCTACGCAATGCCTGACATTCGCCGGGTCACCGGAGGCGGCGGCGGAAGTTCGAATGGCTGCTCCAGCAGCTCCAGCTCCACTGCCTCTAGCTCCTATGGGCGGAAGGGACAGCCGCTGAGCAGCGGCAAGGGCGGCACCCTGCCAGGTGCCCTCTCCAGTCTGTCGCCGCTGGCGCAGTCTCGCAGTGCCATCGACTCCTACGGCCACCACGGTCACCTGCAGCACATGCCCCCTACAGCTCACGGAAGTCAGCTTTCAGCCCACCACCCACTGCTGGCACATCCGGGTGGACAGCTGCTGAACAGCAGCACCACCCTGGGACGACACAACCAGTACCAGCACTACCAACAGCAGCAGCAGCAGCAACAGCAGCAACAGCAACATCAATCTCAGTCTCAGCACCACCTGTACTCGCCCTCGCAGTCAGTGCACAGCCAACAGTCGACGTACGCCTATCCCACCTACCACCCGCACCAGGTGTCCACTGGAACGCTGGGCACTGCCCATTCTCACCACCACTCGACACTGCTGGGCGCTCTGCAGCACCACAACTCGACACCGCCGCCGCTTCCGCCCGCTCATCCGCTGCACAGTCAGCTGCACCTTCAACAACAACAGCAGCAGCAACAGAATCAGCAGAATCACCACCTTCAGCAGCAACAGCAGCAGCAGCAGCACCATTCCTTCCTGGGCAACCAGTCAGCCTCGACGACGGCGACCAGCCTCGAGTCGACCGGTCTGTCGCACCTCAGCCACCACAGCCAGCAGCTCCACCACGGACCACTGTCCCATCATGGTGGCGGTGGTCACCAGCGAGGGGGCCCCAACAGCTCCTCCAATGAGTCCAGTCTGATGACCAATCTGGGCTCGGGGGCGACCACCATCACCACCACTGGCTCCGATTCAGATCGGTCAGCCAATGGAGGTGGTGGTGGTGGTGGTGGAGGTGGCGGCGGTGGGGGACATGGCTCACTTCACCACCCACTGCCCTTTGTGCCATCGGCCAGTTCGACCACTGCTGTCGCAGTTCATATCTAGTTGCACATCACCCCCATCATCCCCATCATCATCATCACTGGCCATCTNTTCAGATCGGTCAGCCAATGGAGGTGGTGGTGGTGGTGGTGGAGGTGGCGGCGGTGGGGGACATGGCTCACTTCACCACCCACTGCCCTTTGTGCCATCGGCCAGTTCGACCACTGCTGTCGCAGTTCATATCTAGTTGCACATCACCCCCATCATCCCCATCATCATCATCACTGGCCATCTCACATTCTCTGATCTTCAACTCCCTTTTCCCGCTTCTCTACCTTTCATAATCACATTTCGCCGCATCATTTCCTCTTCGGCATTGAGCTGACTTCACCAGTCGGACTTCTTCTTCTTCTTCTTCAACTTCTTCTTGATTCTCTTCATTGTGATCCTCAATTCATCGTTTTCTCACCTCCTCTTCCTTCTTCTTCTCCTGTACCATTTCACAAGCCAACTTTACACTTGCTATTTTATTTCTCTTTCTCTTTTCCCCTTTATTGTTTTCACTACCCCTCTTTACATTTCACGGCTGTATAATTACTTTTCTTATCTATTTTTCTTCATTGGTAGCTTTGGACGCGCTTACCTTCAATCTCCGGTTTTCATTCACCTCTTTTTTCATCGTCACTTCCATAAGCAGACTCTGAGTGCACGTTCACCTCTTTGCACTCTGTCACTTTCTTTCCCTATTTTCTCCCTTTATTTTCTTTCTTTTTTGTTAATCATTGTTTTTTGTTATCTTCTGTTTTCTCAATTTTTTTTAAAATTCAGTTTTTGCAAAATGAACAGCAAAACTTCGTATATTGACTGAAAACAATTGTTCTCTTGCAAAAAACTATTATATAATTTCTAAATTCTTGTCAATAAAAAATAAAATTCTTTAAAAAAATTTGCTTTGTCTGCGTCTTTGTTATGTATTGCCTCGGCAAAACATGCAGTGTTTTTGACTGGGTCACATATCAAACTATCAGTTTGTTGCCGCAGTAGTTTTTGGGTTTGCTAACTTTAATTAACAAATTCCTTAGATATGCTCCAATCTCTTAAAGGAATTTTTACAAGAAAAATACAAAAAATTGCTTAATTCAACCAAAAAGAATAAGAAAAGTGTTGCAATTTTTAATATAACAGTGTAAAAAGGTTCTAAATGTTGTGAACAATGATAACAATTTTAATTAAACTTTTTTTAAAAAAACTTTCATAAAAATAATTGCTATTGTTAATCACTAAAAATTAAAATTTTTGTTTTAAGTATATTTTTCTGTTTGTTCATTCTTCAAATTAAAGTATCAACTGGGTGAACGCATTCGCTTCATCGTCAACAGTGTTATATCAACTAATTGACATGCTTTTCTTCACATGTGCGTTTGTTTGCAGCGGTTAAGTTGCAGCTGACTAGAGAACAGTTTTCACATTTTGCAGGCTAGTCGGCTTATCGAGCAATGGCGATACTCGATAGACAATCGACTCGCCTAATAGGGCAGTCTCCAGTCAGTGTTGGAAAAACAGCAAAAATTCATCCAGTCAGTTGTCACCCCCGTCGGGCAGCGATGCTGAACAGTGATGCTGAACAGCGTCAACATCTACAGATGATGGCCATCACTACCGCAGTGTTCACAGCAGTTGGCCATTAACTCGATCGACCCAAATCAGCTTCAATCAGCTCCATCTTCAAAGCGCAACAACATCGTCACTCTTCTACCACCACTAACTGGCATCACTCTTTTTCATCAATTTGTTCCCCCCACCTCCTCATCTTTCTCCTTTTCTCCTCTGCTTTCTATTTTCTATTTTGCTTTTGTTTCAACTCCCACTCCAACAGCAGTGACCAACAAATTTGCGCTTGCCCATTTTTATCGCCATTTTTGCCTTTTTCTCGCCTTCTTTCTCCCTTTTCATCTCTTTCTCTTCGCTTCCCTCTTTTCGGTTGTGTCATCTGCTTCCTCCTGTACATTTAGCTGGCAAAGAGTTCTTTATCACCGGCTGCATTACCTCTCTCCCTCTCCCTCTCTTTCGTGTTCACCATGCTTGGGCTGGAATACCAATGGGCACTCGCTAATGGCGCCCCGTTGATGTGCTCATCGATCGTTCCATCTGCCCCTCTGCTCACACCGGGCCTCTCCGTCTCTGGCCGTCTAGCTTCTCCGCTGGGTGCCAATCGGAAATCAAACTGTCCTTTTCTCCCTTCCCTTCCCTTCTCTTCCTTTTCATTCTGGCAGCAGCAGCAGCACGCCGCATCGTTCCCTTCCCTTCTCCTTTCCTTCATCATCTTCACGCAGCATGGTAAGTCACAACAACGACCACCATTATCGCACTTCTTCCTCCTCTTCTTCCTCTTCTTCTTCTTCTTCACTTTCCCTCTCCGTTTTCTTTCCCTTTCTTTTTCTCTCCCTCCATTTTCTCAATCGGTAAGTGCGACACGGAATTGGTATTCTATCGCCTTTCGCGCCGCCATTTCAACATGGCAGATTAGCGCGCATTGCTGTGTGTGTTCTTTCTCTCTGCCTTTTTGCTTTTTTGTTTGTTTGTATGGTCTGAGAGGGTGTCAGCGTTGATGTCCGGCAAAATGGCTTGTCCCTTCTTCTTTTACCGTCATCAACGGCGGCGGACATTGGTGAAACACACTTTTCCGTTTCTTTTGGCGTCCATTTTTTTGTGCGGTGATTTCAAAGCGATGACTTCGGTTGAGTACGCTACTCATGTTCATTTTTTCGTGAATTGCCTATCTTGGTTTAGGAAAGTTTTTGTTGATTAAATTGCTCTTTGATCGCGTTTCACTGATTCTATTTTGATTTGATTTCTTTACATTCACTTTTTGGTTTCCATTTATGCTTTTTTGTTTTTTGCTTACAAACACAACTTTTTAGTTTTTTATGTTACAAAGTTTGTGTCTTTTGACAAGTACAGATTAAAGCAGCCAGTGAGTAAGGATACTGTTCAAGTTGACTGTTTGAATTTTATTGCAACTATTTTTGGTTATTTTACCAGAATATGTATCAATTTTTCATAAAATGAAACAAATGACGTTTAATTTAATTTTGGTTTATCAAAAAACATTTATTGAGGAAATTTATGTGTTTCATGTATTTTATCAATGTTTAAAAAATTGAACATAAAATTTTGTTTTTACGTCTTTTACATTTTTAAACTTTTTAAAAAAATTTTATTTTAGTTTTCATTTAGCAACATATAATTTGTATTGATTTGAAGCAGATACAGTCAAATAATTTAAGTTTTTATAATTGCTATAAAAAATCTTTTTTATTATTTAGACAAAAAGTTAAAATAAAAAGTTTTTTACATTTGTACTTTTATACTTTGTTTTAACTTTTTTTTGTTTTTTTCCAAATCATNAAATCTTTTTTTATTATCTAGACAAAAAGTTAAAATAAAAAGTTTTTTACAGTTGTACTTTTATACTTTGTTTTAACTTTTTTTTGTTTTTTTCCAAATCATCATCAGCATTAGAAGTCAATGAGCATTTGATGATTATAGTCAATTATTGCCATTTGCTGCCATCAAAACTGAAAAAAGCTTTGTGTGCCTTTACTTTATCGGTTCACGTAAAGTGAAGCACAAAAAAAGAACGATGATGACTGTAAAATGAAAACAAAAGGGAAAAAGCGTGAGATGTGGGTTTCAAATAAGCAGCATCTACTGCCAATGTCGATGAGTAGCATTCTGAGCAGGCCGCTCTGGTGTTTGGGCAATTGGACATTAGCAGTAGTGCTACTTGACAGCAGCTGAGAAGGAGGAGGAAGAAGGGAAAAGGCTGCATGAATTGGTACATGCACCGACAAAGACATCATCACTGTGGACTCTACGGCTACTGGATTCGAAACCGATGATGATTGCAATTGACAAAAATAACTGTCATTCTTAGTTACTATTAAAAACAAACAAAAAGGGTAGGGGACAAGATCAGTGAACATTAGGATTGGAGAGACAAATGTACAATAACGATTGAGAAACTTTTACGTCTGTCATTTTTCAGCAAAAAAATAAATGTACAACTGACAAAATCATATATGTCAATTCGGTTATCATTAAGAACTTTGATCATCTTTATTTTAGTCGTATATTTATTGAATGGGAACATTTTGTCAAAAATGATTACT